TGGTCTCCGCATATGGTCGGTGAGGTGTTATGTTATCAGGAGAAGCGGGAACAGCCGCCTGCAACCCGCTGCGTGTTCTAAGAGTCTGTTGAGGAAGGAACCAGTCAGTGGCTGAAAATGCCGCGGGTGGGCTCATTCTACACCCCCTCACACCACCCCTCCGGACTGCGATATCAGCTGTACGTGGTCGTTCGCATTCAAGCAATTGCGATTTCTCGCCAACACTCGGGTGTATGGCGCATCCGCGAGTCAGCTTTGATCAGCTTTTATAATACTTCGCTATTTTGCATAGGAAGGACGCAGTCCGCGATGGACATCTGGGCGGGGCTGGGCGGAGGGACAGAATACAATCGTGCGAGGCTCTAAATAGTTGAAGACGAATGAAGTGCCAGTGAAGAAGGCAAGGTTGTCAGCTGTCCCGCCCACATGACTTGTCGAGGATGGTGTCTTTAACTTTCTTCTATAGTGGCACACGATTTCCAAAAAATCAAGCAGCAAATGTAGAGGAGAGCAAAAGCTCTTCGAGCGGAGATTCTCTCTATTAACTGGAACTATACAGTAGTGTAATTATAATGTAAGGGACATTTTCGAAGCTATTCGTTCAAATAACCTGGCTCTTATTCTTCTTATTTACAGCCATTCGTCCCTGTCGTCCTTGTCCTCATCGCGGCGATCGGCTTTATTGTCGGCCGGTAGCCTATCGCACATCGACCGAATTGCCATCGAACTTTTCGATACTGAAAAGGCTTACGTGGATGATTTGTACGCAGTAATACAGGTGAGAATCAGGGATTTTCGCTACTTTTCAAATACCCACCAGAAACAAAATTCCTTCAAACATTGCCAAGGTGAGAACATCTCAAATCTCAACATCTCACATGTTTGGAATTTCAAAGTCAGTGGGAAATAGGGATTACTAGAGTATCATATTTTTTCTTACCCTTTTACCTAAAGCCCTGAGAACGAGAACTTCCTGGGCACATCCCTTGAGGGTTCCCGAGTGAAAGCGATCAGTTCCAGTAGCCTGAAGAGGAGAGTCCGATTTGGCTATGCTGAGAAAGGTCTGCATCAAGGTGAATGGACATGGATCGCTGAGAAAGCTCTGCATTAGCGGGAAAGGATATGAAACTCTTGAGAAAAAGAGTATTTTTACTGTTCCTTTTGTGGAATACGCACCACTTGCTCCCCTTGAAGTCGTTTCTCCGTTCACTCCCTGGTTTACATGGTTTCTTGGAATTTCGGTGGTATAGGGAGGTGAGGAACTAGGTGAAAGTATTCAGAGAGCTGGAGCTTCAAAAAATTGTACAGTCACCTGAAGGGCGGCCGCTTCTGTATTCGAGGTGACTGGGTCCGCAGCTGCATTAGCGTGCCATCTTCGTCTCCCAAAGAGGCCGGAATCTGGACTGCAAAGTATTCCTATTCGGTGCAGAACCATACTGCACCCGCGCTAAACTCAAGGTGCAGCACTTGCTCAGATACCAAGGTTCCACGGCGAAACACTCAGGGGTAGAGAACAACTAGACGTGAAAGGACGTGGACAAATGGCACGTTTGGCTGCGACCAGGCGTGTGATCGGGTCGCACGGACGGTAAATGGACAATTTGTCTTTGAGCGGAGTTCCTTAGAGACTGAGAGCGGAGGAGTTTCCAGAGAGCTGGAGTACTCGTGAAATATGTAGTGGTCATGGCAACGATTCTCGTTCGAATTTCATCGACCTTAGCATGCTCTGGGAGGTCAATGGAAGACGCTTCGCAGTAATGAAGTGATTCTGTTGAATTTGAGAGCCAGAATGAAGCAGTAGCAAGTCGCGCTTACTCTGCCCTTCAAATTTTTTGTCAATTTTGAGAAAAATTATACCAATGGAATCAATACTTCATCCTATTTAGGGGTATCTGAACTTCCTTGTCGATCATCGCGATGAGCTCGGCGTGACATTGGACGATATATCGTCGTTGTTTGGCTGCATAGAACGTATCTATGCTTTCAATCGAAAACTCCTCCAACAACTAGATATGGCCGATTTGGATTGCGTGAAGGTAAGTGGAGCGTGATCGACTAGCTGTCCAGATTTCAAGCATAATTCACACTCATCGTTCGTTGTTTTGACGCGCCTTAAAGGATCTGCTATTACTTTGAAGTGGGAGCGTCATTACGATAGCGGTAAGAAATGTTGAAGTAGAGAGAGCGTAGCCTTTCCCGAACGAAAGCTTCTTCAATAAGCGTTGAGGCCTACTACAGGCACAAAGGTAGACAATGTAAATAGAAATGGAGGGTGCGGCTAGGCAGTGAGGGGGGGGGGAAGAAGGTTCTTCCATTGTGACTTCAAGAAGATAGCTGAAGAGTTCTGTTCCTACCAAATTCTCATTACCGACGTTCCGAGCGCAAAGTGGCTCAAAGAAGAAAAAGTCTTCGTGTCCTAGTCATTGCCGAAACAGGTCGTTTAACTGTTCTCCCTACCAGTAACATGGTAGTGAAAGGATAAAATGACCAAATACATCCCCGGATTACAGCATGGACTGAGGTGTTGTAGCAGCA